TCCAATTCTTTTCCAACTGTTTTTGCTGTTACAAATCATGCTGGTCCCCTAGCCTTGTTAAGATCTATGTGACTGTCACTCAATTATTTCCTGTTAGTTCATCTACCTGCTTACCTCCTCAAAGAGTAGGGGTGAGTTCACCATTTTAGAAGTACATGGTCCCTTATGATATTTAAATACATTTATTAACTTTGCTATAGTATGGTAAGGACTGTGCTTCAAAACTTGGATTCTACGGTCAGCCTACCTGAGTTTGAGTACCAGCTCTGCTGTTTGCTTCTTTGCTTGCTGTGTGACCTTGAGCAAGATATTTAACTTCAGATTGCACTCCAAATTCATTGCTTATGATATAGGGGCAATAGTAGTACTTCTCTCATAGGATTGTTTTAAGGATTGTGGACATGATATATGCAAATAGCTTAAAAGAATATCTAACTAATGGTAGAAGCCAGCTGTAAGAAGCTTGTGTTGTCTTTTCACTCATGCATCAAATCTAAATTTCCATGGGACAATGTCTGCATTCAGACCTTCATTTTTTTGTAAGGATAGAGAGCAGAAAGAGGGGAGTAGTGGTAAAACACAAGGGGGTAAAACACATACTAGGAAATGTTGGCAATCATAATTATGTGGCTGGGTATCGATATTTATAATACAGTGGGGTTCTGAATGAGGCCACAAGCTACCCAAGATCCCTCATTAGCAGTTTGGTGGAGACAGGAATGTCACCTAACACCCTGCCTGCCCTCAGCCAGCTCATGTGTCCAGACACCCTTGGATGCTCTGTAATATTTATTGTCCATATGGGATTAGAAATGAATGATCTACGTTTATTTTTACCTTTCCTCGAGGGTTCTTTTCTCCTCCTTTTTTTCTCCTAGTGAAAAATAGAAAGTCTCCTGTTGATGTGGACTCCTCCTAAAGAACAGACTTCACTGTAGAGCCTTGGCCTCCTTGGAGAGCCTTTTCTGTAAACATGCCCCTGTCCAGTAGGGCTCTGGCAGCTGGAGACCCCTCAGCGGGAGCAGGGACTAGGTATAAACTTGGGAACTATTTGGGGAGATAAGAAAATGAGAGAATTTGAGGTCATTCATTTAATCTTAACTACTGGTAGGGCAAGTACATCAGAAACATCTGAATTAAGCATTTTTCTGCATTTTAATTAGTAGAACAAGTCTCTTCTTGATAAGAAAATAAGTTCAACAATAAATCAAATGTATGAAGGAAAGTGCAGGCATTTTTTTCTTATCTAAAGAGGCTCTGTGTTCTTAAGAACTGAGAACAAAACTGCACATCCAAAGGCCTGATTTTCAGTCTTAGTCATTTATCAGACTAAGTCCTTAGAACAAGTAAAGAAATCTAGTTATTTTAGTCAAGAGGCAGTTCTTACCCATTTCTTTGGCTCATGGTCTTGGTCCTCCTTGTATCCTATACTGTCACTATGTGAGATGGGCATGTCGATGGAAATGCCAAGCCCAGTGAGCCTGAAGGATCTGCCAGTGGCTGCTCAAATCAGCAGAAGCCTCATCTCTCACAATGCTTTCCTGTGAACAGTCCCCCTTCAGCCCTCTGTCAGAGACTGTTGGCTAGAATATAGACTTCATGATCAGCTATGGAGAAGTTCTCAGCAAAAGAAACCATCAATGAGGTGAAGAGAGAGCCTACATTTTGGGAGCAAATTTTTGCCACACACATGTCAGAGCACAAATCTCCAGGATATATAAAAAACTCAAAAAACTTAACACCAAAAAACTCAAACAACCCAATCAGTAAATGAGCTAAGGAACAGACACTTCTCAGAAGAAGATATACAAGCAATCAACAAATATATGAAAAAAAAAAATGTTCAACATCTCTAGCAATTAGAGAAATGCAAATCAAAACTACTCTAAGATTTCATCTCACTCTAGCCAGAATGGCAGTAATCAAGAATACAAACAATAAGTGTTGGTGAGGATGTGGGGAAAAAGGCACACTCATACATTGCTGGTGGGACTGCAAATTGGTGCAACCAATCTGGAAAGAAGTATGGAGATTACTTAGAAAGCTTGGAATGGAACCACCATTTAACCCAGCTATCTCACTCCTTGGACTATACCCAAAGGACTTAAAATCAGCATACTGTAGTGACACAGCTACTTCAATGTTTATGACTGCACAATTCCCAGTAGCTAAACTATGGAAGCATCCTAGATGCCCTTCAGTAGACGAATGGATAAAGAAACTGTGGTATATATACACAATGCAATATTACTCAGCACTAAAAAAGAATAAAATTATGGCATTTGCAGGAAAATGAATGGAGTTGGAGAATATCATGCTAAGCAAATTAAGCCAATCTCCAAAAACCGGGGGCTGAATGTTTTCTCTGATAAGTGGATGCTGATCCTAATGAGAGGTTGGAACATGGGAGAAATGGAGGAACTTTGGTCCAAGGGGAAGAAGGGAAGAGAGGGGGCGTGAGGATAAGAAAGATGGTGGAATGATACAAACATCATTACCCTAGGTACGTGTATGTCTGCACATGTGGTGCAACTCCACATTGTGTACAACCAGAGAAATGAAAAGTTGCACTCCATTTCTGTACAATGAATTAAAATGCACTCTATGTCATGTATAACTAATTAGAACAAATAAAATTAAAAAGAAAGAGCAAGAAGGAAGAACTGATTAACTGTTGCTGACCACTTAATCTCATCTGCTAGAAATTTTGTGGACACTGGAAACCATAAAGTGCTTTCACTCCACAGAAATCTAGAAGTCATGGAATTTCCAAAAATTTCAGAATTTCTGCTAAGGACTCAGGGAAAGTCCAAGTGGATAAACAGTACTATCTTTTGAAGGTTCATTCAATGGCAATTGTAGATCCATGCCTCCTCATGAGTTTTGAGGAAGGTGGCAACTGGGAACACGTTACCTCTGTGCCAGTCATGATAGTAGCAGTGCAGTCACAGTCTAGGGTATTACAGAACCATTGAAAATAACACACTTCCACTGCATGTGTACTGATGTGGAAGATTACCTGTGATAGTCTTTTGATGAATAAGGCTGGCATGGTGGTATACACCTGTAATCCCAGATACTCCAGAGGCTGAGGCAGGGGGATGGCAAGTTCAAAGCCACCTGAGCAACCTTAGTGAGACCCTATCTTAAAATAAAATAAAATAGAGCTGGGGATCTACCTCAGTGGTAGAGCACTTGCCTACCACACAGGAGACTCTGGGTTTAACCTCCAGTACCACAAAAAAAAGAATGGTGCAGAACATTATCCAGAGTGTGATCTCATTTTTGTGAAAGCAAAGATAATCCACAAATGAATATATTAGATATAGGTATCTGCTTCATTGAAAACTAGAAGAATATATTTCAGTTGTTAACAGTGAACCTCAGGAATTAAGTGCAAATGAGGCAAATGGGAAGGGTGGCAAGGGAGTGGGAGCTTTTACCTTTTCATCACTCACAGCTGAATTTCTAATTTTGGTCAAACCATAGAGAAGGCCGCTGATATGGGGCCGCTGATGATAAACATGTGTTTTAGTAATACTTGACATACAAAAATTTTTTAATCATTGTGTCAGAAATGAATTAGCTCTGTTCTATAAATAAACATATCAAACATCAAATGGTGCCCCTCCACTGAAGAATCTCCTTAAGAATGACAATGTGAATCATCTTACAGTTGCAAATGTCAGCTGTCCCATGTTGCAGACTACAGAAAGAGATAAAAAGGACATCCAAGGGTACTCTGTGATAAAAATCATTATATCTTGAGAGGACTGATAGGAACAGTGGAAGGAAGGTGTGATCATTTTTTAAAGAGGCTGAAAGTCTGCAAATATTTTCATAACAACGCTAGAAAAATACGCTGCAGTGGCGTTAGGATACATAGCATCTTAGAAATTGATGGCCCTCCTAAAACCCCCCTTACCAAGAATTCTAACTCAACATAAAAGGAAATGATTTTCATGTGGTGAAATGCATTAGCTAATTAACATATTTGTATTAAGAATCTAAAACCTGGGGGAGGGAAAAACAAAGATGAATCGGAGTCAAGAACTGCCTCATGATACTTTTAAAGGAGGCGGGGTGCAGGTGGGAGGCCAGGTGCATATACAGACTCTGGAACTCAACTGCTACAATCTAAAGTGGGACTTCCAAATAGAGTGGTGGGAGGGTCTCTCCAATGGGTTGTATTTTGCTTTCTGTTTTGTCTTAGAATAGGAAAAATATGAAACTCATTGTAAGCAAAGAGGAAAGAGTCCACACAGAGAGATGATTAACAGGCGAGGAAGAGAAAACAGGTAATATTAGTCAAGGAAGCTCTAGAAGAAGCAAGAAGAGCCCAGGCAAGAGGTTAGGCTTAAGAAGGAGGAAGGATATTATCCAAATTAAATAAAAGAAGGAACAGGGCCTGGGTGTGAGGCAAAACACCCTGAGATGAAGGAGAAGGAAACTGAGGTATTTGTTTGAATCAGCCTAACTTTCTCCTTCTGGTGAGAAGCTGCTTTATTGATGGAGAGTGAAAATGTAGTGGTAGATTGAGGAGTTATGGAAAGATCTAGAATAGCCACTGTAAAGACCATAAATTAACCAGGAATTAACTATGAAGCATCACTGAGATGTCGGGGTGGGAGGGGGGGCTGCATAGCATGAATTTTTAATGAAACCAATTTTTTTAAAAAAATAATTTTTTATCGTTTTCTCTAGCACTATGACAGCTAGATATAAGAGCAGAGAAATTCAGTTTGACTAGAATGGAGGGATGGTAGAAATCAAATCATTCCTGAAAACTGCCTGTGAACGTTCATTGGAAATGAGCCAAGTGATTGCATCGTTATAGATTTCACTTTATCACTGTGTTTTTCCTCCTTTAATTTGTGTAGTCCATTTTCTGTGAAAATCTGAGAGTAATAACCTGGACTTCAAATGTGAACCTAGTATGGCCATGAAAATTTCTAAAGCTTCTAGCTCAAACTTGCTTCTCATGCATTATGTATTTTTAGGCTGGAAAAACTAATAACATCCTTTTTGGAAGACCAGGATCCACAGAGTAGACTAGAGGTCGGCGCTGATATGCGTAAAATTCATCACTGTTTTCATCATTTAAAGGTAAGTTTAAATGTTTCCTTCAATAGAAACCATTTCCTGCCATGTTCCAACTGCAATAAAAAACTTTTCTGGTTGACCAAGCCTTGAAAAGTTAGGACCCAGCTTCACAGAAAATGGTGTGAGCTGTGAACCAATGCTGTGATCACCACCCACTTTCTCCTGAGATCAGATCTTACTTGCCAATAAATAAGCCCAAACCATGGACTTCAAATTCTTTTGCCAGGAATCTCTACACAGAATAGTTCTGTGTTCCAAAAACCAATTTTAAAATAATATCAAGTGAATTGTGTATTGTATTTTTTATTTATCCTTATAATTCACTTTCCTCTGCCTTGGGTTTTACCTTTCCTGATGAGGAGATGGGGTTATCGTTACATGTTCCTTCTACCGTAGTTGTAGTAGTTGTATTTTTTCATACCTCTGTAAGATAGCGAACCTGTCTGTGAGTCTGCTGTGGGCCAGGATTGGGAAGGCAATGTTGAAGAGTCATGGAGAAGACAGATAAGGGCTATAAAAGTATGAACTGAGCGCTATTGTGTTACGTAGAAAGGGAAGAGAGTCCAAGAGGAGATAATGTTTGAGGAAGAATTTCCCAATTTAGGAAAGGAGAGATAAAGATGGGGGAGAAGGGAATGTGGAAGGCAGGTGGGTTGGGGGACAAGCGTGTGAGAAAAGCGACTGTGAATTCAAGGAGTCAGGACAAGGCATGCTTATGTTCAGGGAATTGTTAAAGGGAAAAGAGCCAAACAAGAAAATTTGGAATGGCGGTATAGGGGCAAAACTGTTCTTTCAACTTACAGAAACTATTGAATGACAAGAAGATCCTCGGGAACAGTACAGTCTCCTCTGAAATCAAAGAGCCAGACTGCCAAGAACCAGTGAGAGAGGAAGAATATAAAAAGCTACGAGACCTTCTAAAGCAGAGGGATAATGAAATCAGTATCCTTCCTGAGGCCATGAAACTCAGGGGCGTGGGAACAGGTGACTCCCCACTGCCACATCACTCAGGGGCCCACCCTTCCTCCCAATCACCTTGTCCCTTTCCACAGAGAAGTAAAACGTCCCTTTAGCAAACACAGTGCCATCACTAGTGAAAAAGAGTAGCTACAAAAGAAAACATTTGACCTCACTTTTAGCCTGATATAGTTTCTCTACAGAGAACATTTCAGTTTATAGAAAAGCATGAGCTTTTTTATGCCATCTCTTCACATTAGATTTGTGAAAATATGATTTTTGACTACTCTGTGGTGCTCTTTCTGGTTCAGTCCTGAGCCAATAAGTTAGCTGGTTATCTTTAGCTAGCTGACCGGACACCAGGCTGACCACAGCCTTACCATGGCCCAGAGTTTGTGGCTGGTATGTGGGTGAAACTCAAATCATGGCGAAGAAATGATAAATGGTATTTAGCTTATGAAGAGCAGAGATTGATTTAAATGTAACCTTTTATTTAAAAGGAGATCTACTACTTTGGGTTCTACTTACAAATGTTTCCAAATTTGGAAGTGGGAATAGATGAGTGTTCAAGACAGAATTCTTATTGGCTCCAGGAGGCAGCATATCTGGGGTCCTGAGAGTGGTGGCGGTCCCTGGGACATGAGCTTCTCCTAGTTGCAGACTAGGTGGTTACTTCTAAAGAGCCCCTGGTGGCAAGTTAGACCTCAGGACTCCCTGAGATTTCTTCAGTATTCCTTCTTGTTTTATCTTTCAAGCTTCTTATAAAAGACTTGACATTTTCATGACATCTGCAGCATTTAAACACACACAGGCAATAATTTTGGTCAGTTCATTATAAGCAGATATTTTTTGCTCATTTTTAAAATTTTCTAAAGATACTTTAGCTTCAGCTATTGTGAAAAATGCATAAAAGTAATCTATGTAAAGAAAATCCAGAAATAAAGAGGTAAAAACAAACCAAATACAAAGTAAGTCTGCTGCCTGATTAACTTCAGTCTTTAATTTTAGTTGAGCATTAGCAGACCCCATATGTCAGATTCAAGTAAGTTTTAGCTGCTTTATTATTCAGCCAGAAACAGTAGGTTCAACTGTGAATTACACCCCCACATGAGCCCTTGTCTGTGAGTGCTGTCCACAAATGTTGTCACCCTTGCATTCCTTTCCCTCTCTCTTACCCCATCCATCTCCAGGGATGGTCTCAGCCTGGACCTCACTCCTGGCCTCAGCCCCAGTCTGAGCTCTGCTTCTTTTCCTGGCCCTGATCCTAGTCCAGGATCTTCTCTCCTAAATACTCCTACCAACTTCTTAATCCGCTTCATGACTTATGAATGTCTGTGCCTATAGGAGGGATGAAATGAGATATGACAAAGAGGGAACAGGCCAGGCTTGTTCATATACATTTATTTTTAAAAGAGAATGAGAGAGAAAGAGAGACATACATCATCTCCCTTCTTCACTGTGGTGAATCTGGGTACCACTATTCACATGGGGCTACACTAGATTCTTTACTGAATAATTCAGAGTTTCCGCCATCTGAGTCTCATATTCAAAATGATGGTGTGTATGCTGTCAGAGTGGACAGAATACTGATCTTGAATCCATACTTGGATTGAAATCCTAGCTCTTCTTTTATTAGCTGTATGACTACTTGATGAAGCTGTTTCCTATCCTTCAGGAGCAGGAGCGTAAGACCTGCCCTGTCAATCTCACTGTGCTGAGCAAAACCAGAATGTGCCCAGGCATTCTAGAGCATCCCACAATGGAAGCTGTGCTGAGGTAAACAGTAAGTAAAATCAGAAGAAGGAAAAACAACAGCTAAGATTTAATCATCTCAAAACTTACGTTCATCAAAGGCTGAAAACCAATAAAGGCTCTTGATGCATCACAGTTACCCAGTCGGGTTTGGAGGATGTTTTCTTATCTGTCTTTGTAGACCCAGAAGGCTCAGCTTGTGACAGGTGTGAGAAAGACACTATTTCCCATGGGAGTAGGTGGGGGTAGATTATACTGGAGATCAACAAAAGATAGTAGTGCTGTCAAAGTGACCACCAACAACATGAATGTCCATAGTGGGAGTTACAAGGTTCCATTTCAGTGACATCATCCGTTTGAACAAACCCCAGACACACCTTCACAAAGTATAAAACAAGGTGGTACTGAATCACAGCTCAGCCAAAGAGGGGAATCTTCCCAGATAAAAGACCTAAATACTCACAGATATATGCACAGCTTCGCTGCCTAGTGTAAGTCAAGTATTCACTTTACTTTTTATTAACTCTTTCATAAAAAATCTAAGACATCTGGTTTAAACTAAGAACATTTTGAAAAACATTGAGTTTGCTAATTTTTCACCTCGTAGTGTCATGGTAGAAGACTAATAGCCTCCTTATTGTCCACAACTGTGTAGTAGGAATTTGGAAAGTTAAAATCTTCCTTTAGTCAGTCTTTACCGTATGTTCAGGAGCAAGTGGTTTGGGGACTATTAACTGCATTTGGATCATTTGTATTTTGATCATTATAATCTAGGATGAGTCATTTATTCCTTAAGTCAAATTTCAGATATTTTAGTCAACATGTTAAAAAAGGAAAAGAAGAAAACTCAGGATGCTCTCCACTGCTCTAGTGTGGACAGAGGTGAAATCCGACTCATCCAGAGCTCACCCTTCCCACCTGGAAACCCAGAAGGTCAGAGGACATCACTGTTCTCAGCCCCGACACAGTCCCAGGATTGCAGCATGCTCAGGAATAGATCCAGTTTGCTCCACAAAAAATCAGGTCAGTTGATTAAATGTCTAGTGTTTTTCATAGCCTCTACTGGGTTTCAGTGTAGTTGTAAATGTGCAAGGACGAAGACACTAACAATGTATTTTTCTAACAAATCTCTTTTTTATTGATTTTTTTAAAAAATAAATGACAGTGGAATGCATTATAATTCTTATTAAACATATATAGCAAAATTTTTCATATTTCTGGTTGTATATAAAATATGTTGACACCAATTCGTGTCTTCACACATGTACTTTGGATAATGATGTCTATCAAATTCCACCATCCTTGCTAATCCCCTGCCCCTACCCTTAATCTCTTAAATACTAGTTTCCCAAATTAATTTCCCCAAATCTCTTAAATACTAGTTTCCCAAATTAATGACTGAACTGAGAAAAACAAAGTATGAATTTTCATAGCATTCAAAGGTAGAATTGGAAAGGTCCAGAGTAGAAAAGTGAACTTTAGAGACAGGAAAGAAAAACCTTCCTCTGCCCTTAAGAAGGAACAAGGAAGATCAAATGTCACATTAATAACAAGATGATGTCTTGTTTATTACTAAATCCAAATGAGCTATCTACAGCAAAACAATTTTAAAGTAAAAAAAATTAAAGTATTTAAAGTTTTATCACAACCTTAAAGAGCAATAAGTTAGCAAAATGATTGGACCAACTCAGAAGCATCTTCCCCTTTTTTAGCTTTTGGTACTGCTAGTACAGAACCTTCCAGAAGCCCAGGCCTGTTTGTGTATGTTTCCCCTTGTTAGACCAGCATGGCATGATGTAGTCATGTGACTGGTGCCTTGTCCAGGATATAGAGGAATCAGAAGTGTGGTGTGTACTGGGGAAAATGGTGAAATTTTCCCTTTTTGGCAACATGTTAACATTTTCTGTGCAAACATTTGTTGGAATGTACTACCTGATATGTGTGGCTTCCTCAAGTATCTAGCCTGGGAACCACCAGAGTGTGGGGTTCATTAAGAAGCATGTGCTTTAATTAATAAAGACAACTTGGAGAAGTGTGGAGATATATTTTGTGATATCATATTCCTGTAGCTCTTAATTCCAAATCTCCCTGCATTGAATAGTTCTTCAACAACACAGTACAATGAATTCAAATCCAGGAAAACAAAGATACCATTTATCATGATGGCAGCAGAAATGAAAATCACTGATTCCTTTCTGTGACTGTTTTCTATTCAGCTTTGCTCTATTTATTATAGATAGCAGCTGGGTGGGGAAAAGGGGGAGCCGTCTGCATTGGTGAACTCTTAGCCATCCATTTACTCATTCCTCTTTAATTCAACATATTATCGAGCACATACTTTGTCCTAGGCACAATGTTAATTATTATTACAGCCAAAGCTTACATAGGCCTTATATACCAGGTACTATGTTAAATCCTCTGCTTGAATTATTTACCCACATATTACAGATGAGAACATACATAGACAAACACAAGCTCTGACCTCAGAGTGAGGACACAGGAAGAGTCACTGACACAGGAAGAGTCACTCAACAATTGATTACAGAATTACATTTCTGTATTAGCAGGGAGCACATGCCAGGGACCTTACCTGCAGTAAAGACTAGAAAGATCCAAAAGGGGAGTGAGGGTAAATGTGTGAGTGGAAGGAATCTTGGAAGGAAAAGGAATCAGTTGCATGAACAGCTTTGGAACATTTTAGGAATCCAAAAAGCCAGCTACGGTTGGCATCTGAGGGATGATCGAAAGCCGGGGGGGGGGGGGCAAATTGATTGACATGTGCTGAGCAGATCGACACTAAGACCACATGACCATAAGGGACCATTGTAGTAGTTTAGGCCAAAGGATAGGGATGGTGAGAGAGGTGAGGTAGCAGAAGCATTTAGGAAGTCGAGTGGACAGAGCTTTGTTGCTTACAGGATGTGGAGGGTGAGGGTGAGGATTGGCCCCCAGGTTGCACAGTAGCTGATGAGACTTGTCACAGCGGTAAGGAATAGTGAGTGCCTCCCGTGGTTCTATGACAGTCAACATTGTTGGCCATTGAGAACATGGCATGGGCACCTCTGCTGTGGGAACCCAGAAAAAATAGGACCCCAAAATGTGATGCTCTGCCATGCTGCATACTTTGAACTGAAGGCCATCAGAAGGGCCTCAGAAGCAAACTCTCTATCCAAACTTCTCCTAATTGTCTTTCTCCTACTCTTTTTTTTCTCTCCTAATACAGGCCACAAAAACTAGAACCCCTCTCCCCTAAAGCCAGCCACAAAATCTAGAAATACTATCTCCCCACCCTGCACCTTTTTTGGCCATAAAGAAATTCTCTGACCTACCCTCTTGGATAGTGTATCATAAGACCCTCATTCCAGAAGGTCCTGCCCTGTCCTGGGAGGAAGAAATGACACACAGAAGAGTCCAAGGAGAAGCCAAACAGATAGGCTTTGCTGAATTTCCCCCATTCATTTTATTGCATTAGATCATCACATTTTCCCAATCACTTTTCTGAATGGTGTCATTAAACCTAAGCATAAAAATAGAGTTTTCCCCCAGGTCTTTGGTTCCATTCTGAAGGCTGCCATATTATATAACATTTGATTAAATAAGTCTGCTTTGCTTTTCTCTTGTTGATTAGTCTTTTGTCACAGGGGTGTTCCTGATGATGAGTAAGGAAAGGTATCGGACCTTCTTGCCCCTGCTCTGCTGAAATTAAAGGTCATGGTCAGTACCCCATGGCTCATGATGGAAGGAACTCTTGTTTCCTGGCCTTTTCGAAACACATACTCCATTGTGCCTGTGCAGAAATGGCCTCAGACATCTCTGCCCAGCCCTTGTTGTGAGCCAGACCTTTTTGATTTCGATTTCTTTTCATCCACACCATCCCTTTCTCCTAATTCTTCTCCCCACAGCATCTCATAATCCTTTCCCTTCCTTATAATTACAGTCAATTGTTTTCAGGAAATCTTTTCTTCCCTGGATACTGCTATTGAGACAGACTATAGTTTTATTTGGAGAATAAATAAAATTTACTTAAATAAAAAGTTGCTGAAAAAATAATGGAAATTGTTTGTAAAGTCCAAGTACAAATGATGTAAAAGTTTTGGAGCAGAGCCTTATATTTGAAAGGTTTTTGAGTTGTTGTAACCCTCATTGGGTACAGTTCTAGCAATAACTTTAAATAGGAGTAGGCTCACAAATGGACTGATAATGATCTAACCATTTGGGGAAGGGATTGATGGGAGATTGACTACTTTTTTGGCAAAACTACAAATGGAATGAAAACTGTTGCCGATGAATTGATGCTGCAGAGCAACAAGTTGTGGAATCGCTTCTTACCCTATTAAGATTCTAGGAGCTGATTTTATTTTATTTGTTTATTTATTTTATTATTGCAATGTTTTATATATGAGAAGCTCACGTGAACTAAAGCAAATACAAGAAAATTAATAAGCCTAGTGTTCTGAAAGTTTTTGTCTTAGGTAGGTGTTGTCGGTTTCTATGATTGGTCCCTGGGGCTGTTTCTTATGCAGAGAGCATGTAAATCTCACCGTCTCTCAAATTGTTGTGAAACTATCTCCCCCTCCACCGCCCTCCCCTTCTTCCATTCACCTCCACTTGATGCTGAAAATAAGTCCTTTCTAATCAGAAAATGAAACTGAATTTAGGGTTCACTAGAGAGCCCTGTAGGTTGAGTCATTGTCCTGCAGCCTGCCAAGGCGCAGCAAGGTCAGGGGCTTTGGGGCCTTTGGCTGTTGTTTTGAAGGTTCAATGTCTGTGTTGGTTTCATTGAAATAAAGAGGAGGATTGTTCAGCTCCACAGTTTGAGAAGAATCATATTGTTCTGTTTAAAATAAGTCAAGTTTTAAGGTTAGGTTGGTTTGGGTTTTTTTGTGTGTTTTATTTTCTGTTTTAGATCTCTGATTGTGTTCCAAATAGTCACCAGGAACCAGTCGGTATTCCAAAGGCCCCACCACTCAGCACATCCTTTAGCTGCTTGAGAAGCTAACAGAACCCACTCACCACGGTTGATGTTGCTGTCATTTTAAAGATGGGGGTGGAACTCAGTGGGAGAGCACTTGCCTAGCATGCATGAGACTCTGGGTTCCAGCCCTAGACCATGAAAAGAAAAATCAAGTACATTAACTGCAAAAACATACCCTTGAGGCTCCAGACCCTATTCTCTTGTTCTGTGAGATTCTTTGAATTCCCACTCTGTGCATGGAAGGTCCAGGGTATGCTGTGGGCTGTACCAAGGTGAACTGAGAGGGAACTCACAGTTAAATAGTGGAGGCTGGCTTTGTACCCAAACAGCAGAGAATAAAATAAGTTGCTTTAAGCAGAAGCTAGAAGAAATATTTTGGGAATTCAAAGGAAAATGGAAGAAATTTATTTTATTTTAATTCTTTTGTATTTTATTGATGCGTTATGATTGTACACAATAGTGGGATCTGTTCTTTATTCTGATGTGCACACTATACAACTATATCATTTGACCAATATCATTCCCCAGATTTCTCCTGTACCTTCCCTCTTCCCTCACTAGGTCCTTTTCCTCTTCTCTACTGATCTCCCTTTGATTTCCTTGAGTTCCCCCCACCTTTCTCTTCTTTTTCTTCTTTAGCTTCCACATGTGACAGAAAACAAAATCCTTGCTTTTCTGAGTTTGGTTTATTCAGTTAACATAAAATTGTCAAGTTCCATCCATTTTCATACAGATTTCTTCATTATGCTGAATAAAACTCCACATTTTCTTTATTCATTTACACATTGATGGACACCTAGACTAGTTCCATAGTTTGACTATTGTGAATTGTACTACTCCAAACTTGGGGATCTCGATTGTATGGTGACTTTAATCCTTTAGAGTGAATACTGAGGAGTGCTACAGCTGGATCATATATATGGTGGTTCCATTCCTAGTCTTGCAGAATCTCCTCATCCATTTCCATAGGAGTTGTACTAACTTACAGTCCCACCAGCAGTATCAAAGTGTTCCTTCTTCTCTGCATCTTCTCCAGCATTTATTAATG